GGATACATGGATCATTTTAAACTAATAATGTGGGTACATGGACCATTTCAAACTAATAATGTGGGTACATGGACCATTTCAAACTAATAATGTGGGTACATGGATCATTTTAAACCAATAATGTGGGTACATGGATCATTTTAAACTAATAATGTGGGTACATGGATCATTTTAAACTAATAATGTGGGTACATGGATCATTTTAAACCAATAATGTGGGTACATGGATCATTTTAAACTAATAATGTGGGCATATGGATCATTTTAAACTAATAATGTGGGTACATGGATCATTTTAAACTAATAATGTGGGTACATGGATCATTTCAAACTAATAATGTTGGTACATGGATCATTTTAAACCAATGATGTGGGTACATGGATTAGTTGCATCTAACAGTTAAAAATAAGATAACTGTTCATTGCTTTAATATTGTTTTCATTTTGAATATGTGGTGATATTGATTTTTTGGTTTGGAGAAGCAGTGAAGTCATGTTCATTACAGTGTAAGTATTGTAGTGGAACTGTATATTTTGTCACGATTTTTATTCTTACACTGTGAAATGTATGGTTGGAAATGTTTAATATAGTAAACAAAACAAACAACAGCATTAATAACAATGTACAGGTTATTATTGAAGGGAAAGAAAGCTACTGACGAATCAGAAATCAACGTGTTTTCTAGGAAAACTATTCCAGTTTTAAATTATAATTTGATTGTTAATATCAATAATAAAGAAAATATAATCTGTTTAATATATGGGATTATAAACAGAGACCTGTGAAGTGAACTTATATCCAACAATCTGATAATCTCTTTCTGAATAATCCACAAAATATTAACAAATAAGATAAGTACACTTTCCTTAGCAATTTGATATAGTCATGTTGATTGATTATGTAAGAGTTGCAAAACTTTTCAAGATCTGTTGATTTTGAACCATGTCTGTTTACGGTAACACAATTTAAATCTTTTAGTTTATACCTCAATTTAGTATTATTTCTTATTGGTTATCGGTCATGAGTGGTTTCTCTGTCCTAAAGAAAAACTGTGGTACAAACAATTAACACATTAGTTTCACTAGTTTTAATAAAAAATATTTTCTTGGGTAAAGGTTGGAGTTCAGAAACTCCAGAGGTATAATTTAGTGATATCGGAGAATGTAATATGGTTTAATAACTGTATTTGTAGCAGATTTAACTTTCATATTTTTACAAACAGTATAAAAAATGAAAGTCTGATATTAAAGGCTTCTTTATTTTGCTATTACGTGGTTTCTGTTTATTGATGTTACTTTTAAGAAGTGATATTATATTTTTCTCTTAAGAAGTGATATTATATTTTTCTCTGAAGGAGTGATATTGTATTTTTATTTTAAGGAGTG